AAAAGGTTAGATTAGGCCAAAATAAGAATTAGTGGGGATTCAATTAAGAGAGGAGAAAAGAAAAGATGAGAGAAGAAAGGAAAGGTGAGAAAAAAGAGATTGTGGAAAAATTAAAGAAACATGTTATATTTTATGCAAAATAGAGTGAGATTATGAATGTTTATTTTTCTGATATGCCTATGATTTTATTTATGTTAAAGAAGTCATATTTTAACTCTAATAACCTTGGTCATTATATTCCTACTATTTATATTTTTTTTATTATAGGATTTTAAGAACATCTTTTTGATGAAATTTCTAGTGGGTTGGCATTTATTATAAGGATTAAGCACCAAATTGATCTTGTAACAGAAACATCCATCCCTAATTGACCAACCTATAAAAATAATCTTGAGAAGACAAAGGAACTTTAAAGGAAAATGTAAGAATTGATGACAAAAATGTACACAAAAGAAAACACGAGTTCATGTATTTCTAGTGTTGTTAATATTGAAAAAATAGAGTTTAGAGGATGTGTGTTGATTGTCGCGCCCTCAACAATATTACAGTAATATATATACACCTAATTTTTAGACTTAATGTATGTTAGATAAATTACATGTGTTTTGTATGTGTTTTAAGATTGATTTGAAAAGTAAATATTATAAAATATGAATAAAAGAGGAAGATGAATGAAAAACTACTTTTAAAACTAAATATAACTTCTATGAGTGGTTAGTTATGCCTTTTAAACTTATTAATGCACCTAATATTTTTATAAGAGTAACAAACCATGTTTTGTATAATTTTATAAGTAAGTTTGTTGTGGTTTATTTTGATGATATTTTAATTTATAACAAGAATTTAGAGAAGTATGTTAACAATTTAAGGAACATATTGTTTGTTTTGTGAAAATAATGTTTATATGCTAATATAAAAAAGTGTAATTTTTGCATAGAATATATATATATATATATATATATATATATATATATATATGTTATGTTTTAACGAAATTTATGAGTTTTAAATAGGGTAAAAAACAAGAAAATGCTTTTAATTTATTAAAGAGAAAACTAATTTTGGTTTATTGTTATCATTGCCTGATTTTACAAAATCTTTTGAGATTAAATATGATACCTCATGGATAGGTATTATAGATTTTTAATGTAGAAAAAAAACTCATAGTTTATTTTAGTGAAAAACTCATAGTTTATTTTATTGAAAGGCTCAATGTTGCATCATTGAATGATCCTCTTTATGATAATGAGATTTATATTTTCATAAGAACTTTAAAAACTTGACAACATTACTTATAGTCTAAAGAATTTATAATCTATACTAATCATGAGTGTTCAAAACAACTTAATTGTAAAGGAAGCTAAACCACTAACATACTAATTGGCGAGAGATAGAGTTCATTGAAATATTTTCATACATGATTAAATACAAGTAAGATAAGGAAAACATAATGGTTGATGCACTAGCACTATTATGAAGGTATGTACTTCTTTCAACTTCAAACATTAAATTATTAGAATTTGAGTATATGAAAGATTTATACATTAATGATGTTTATTTGGCCAAGTATATATTGCATATGAACATCCAATCTTTGATAATTTTTATAAGTGTAATGAATATTTACTTAAAAAAAAAAGATTGTGTGTGTCTAATTATTCAATGCTTAAATTGCTAATGTATGAAGCTCATGAGAGTATATTAATGAGATACTTTAGGGTAGTTTAGACTTTAGATGATAAAAAATGTGTAAAAAATTTGTGATAGATACATATTGATAGATACATATCATGTAAACATGCTAAATCTAAAGTTTTGCATCATGGTTTATATAATACTTTGTTAGTATATTGGAAACCCTGAGTTGATATAATTATAAATTATGTATTAGGTTTACTTAGGTTAAGAAGGGATATACATTCTATGTTTGTAGTTACAGATAAGTTTTCTAAGATAATACATTTTATATTTTTTTATAAAAATCAATGATGCAACAATATAATAGATTTATTTTTAAGAGAGATAGTCAAGCTTCATTGATTACTTAGAAGCATTGTGTTGATCATAATATTAAATTTTTTAACTTTGAAGGTTTAATGATAGAAAGTAGAGATAAAATTTTTATTTTCTATTATTTTTTATTCATAAATAAATGGTCAAATTAAAATAGCTAACAAGACTTTAATCACATTATTAATAACTATCATTTAAAAACTTTGCCATTCTTTTTCTCGATCAAAATCATAATTTCAACACCCTGGTTGAATAAATGGAACCCTAAATTGTGCATTACAATTGACTAATAGAAACAAAAAGAACAATTCAAACTGAAAATATGTCATTAAAGCACCAATAAACATGTAATTAGAGAGAGCAAGTGGGGGGAGAAGTACTAGTAGAGATTGCATTTGAGGAAGCTACTCCACTTCGAGTAAGATAAACCAATACGTTATACATTCCAAACTTCGAACAGCTGAATAAACCAATCCATATCTGCACATTCAAGCGTACACACCATCTTCTACATGTATTAAATATATCATACAATTAAGTTGCTCCACTTAAGAAAGCACGACAAGAGGCCATAGGGTACGGCCATTTAAGGGCTTTCCGGTGGTCCATTTTGATTATTTGTATAGCCACCGAATGATTGCCTTGGAATGCTATGATGACTATTTACATCAGGCTCACCACTGCTATCTGCTGAATTTTCCTTCACTACGACCTTCTCGATTTCCTTGCTTGATATCTGATCACCCAACAGTTTGTAATCTTCAACAGCCAATATCTTTCTATTCGTGGCAGAAGTAATGTCAGCCATCACAAGTAGCAAGATGTACATCAAGAACTTGGACTTCATGGTGTTGAAGTTTCTTTATCACTACTGGTTTTTAGCTTTTGCAAGTGGTTTTATGGTTATGAAGAAGATATATACATTCATGGCTACTTATAGAAGGGGGGAGGATAGGGGAGAGTGGCTGTGGGTGGAAAGCTTAGAAAAATCTGATTGTGGGCTTTCCATTAAGGTCAGATTGTAAGTTAGTTAATCCAAAGAATGAGCTAGGTAGTGCTATGATTAATTAGTGCTTCATATTGTGGTTTCTGCTAGTGATATTTCACTAAGGGCAATACATAGTGGTGCACTTTCCTCGTGTCCCCAAATGGGAAAGATCCACCTTGCCAACAAGGGGGCCACTTGAAAATCATTACCAGTAGATAAATATAGAAAGAAGCATTAATTTCATCAGAAGATGTTGGAAGAAAGGTTAAGCTTATCAACTATATAGCGCAAGTTAAGCTTATCAACTATATATGAAACAGGCCTAACGACATCAATTCGGTTCTTAAATCTCTCAACAGAATTGTCAATTTTCCAGCAGAAGATTGGCATCACTTTCCTAAGATATCAAAATCTTAGGATTTGGGACACGAACTTTGATATCCTGATTGAGTTAATAACAGAGTTGCAAGAGATATTTTTGAGATGTTACATCATAACCTTTGGCAACAATATCCATTCCTGTGCTTGCGTTGTGCAAATATTATCCTGTACCCGTATTGCTGCAATGTTATTCTGTGACACAGAAGAGGAGGAAAAAAAAACATGATAAACTATTTATATTCTCATCATAATCTCACTTTTGTAAGGAAACTCACATAATCTAGTTTTAAAAATGTGTAAAAGGGGATTGCCCCAGAAGATTGTAGGGTAAAATTAAGAGGTTGCTAGCCACAATGCTGATTCTTTTAGCTTCGGTGAACTACTGGATTTGAAGACAGCAAGAACTCTTGTGGTTCATAGGGGTATTGATAGAATCTAGAAAATTCTTTGGCTCGATTTGTAGGTGAACATGGGAGGTCCATGATCAATTTTACAATCCAAGCAAATTTCTAGCCCTGTTTTTTTTTTTCTTCCTTCTGTCTTTTTTCCCAAGTATATACTACTAGTGCTGGATAGCCCAGTTTGTTCAAAAACTCGTCCCTAAATTCAATGCTGTTTGGTATTATGGTGCCGCATTTGGACATTCATAACAGCTGTATCTAGGACTCGTTTGACACCTGCATTCAAAATTAGAACAGCTCACTCGTTTGTTCCATGCAATTTTAATTTGTTTTCACCTCATCCTCTTTTGTTGGAAGGTCGATGGAATCTAGATCCTTCTAATCGTTAGAAAACGTGTTCGGTGAATTCTTTATAGCAATTTGATAGTAGCTAAAGCTTCAGGAGGATTAATTTTCTAGGCCTAACAAATCGTGTCCAGGGGAACTGACGGGGAAAAAAAAATGGAGGACCTTCGAAAAGGTAATGCCTAGATGTATAATGTGAGGAAATTTTTATTTATAAAATTTGTGCTATCATAGAAATGGAATAAAATTTGTACAATCATAGAAATGAAAAGCAAATATATAGAATCTAGAAAGCAAATATACAGAGTAAATAAATAGCTATAATTATAAAAAATAATATAAATCAAATCTTATCAAATAATTCAAACTTTTAGATAAAATGATTTTTTATAATAGCATCAGAACCAACACGATTATTCTCTACTTTCTCTTCAATTTTCTCTTTTTCAACACAAGCTTGAAACTCTAGCAAATCTGGTTACTTGTCATGGCTAAATTCTCTACCAACCAGCTTCCACTCAATACTATGGTTCATATGGTGACCATTAAACTCACTCTCACAAATCACCTCTTCTGGCGTCGTAAATTTGTACCTTTACTTAAAAGTCAAGATTTATTGGGTTATCTGAGTCTTTTCCAGTACCTTCAGCTCAGATTCGTCAGGGTACTGAGCTAGTACCAAATCCTTCTTACAAAAAATGGCACACATAAGATTGACTTATACTCAACCTTCTTTATGCCTCTCTCACTGAGGAATGTATTGCTGAAGTAGTGGATTGCTTTACCTATCGTGATGCTTGGCTAGCTCTTGAAGCTTCCTTTTCACACAATTCTAAGACCTGAGAAAATCAATTGAAAGATGAACTCCAGCTGATGCAATAAGGTTCACGTACTATCACTGAATATGCTCGTTCCTTTCGCTCCCTTTGTAATCAACTTAGTGCTATTGGCAAAGCTGTTGATGACACTGATAAGGTATACTGGTTTCTTCGTGGTCTTGGATCAGATTATAAAATATTTTCAAATTCAATATTGTCACAATTGTTGATGCCTTCCTTTGCCAATTTGATACCACAAGCTCTCAGCTATGAGCTTTTCTCTCGGTCTCTTTATGGTGATTTATCTTCTCCGTCAGCTTTTGTTGCACACCAAGGTTCTTCTTTCAGTGATGCTTCTGGTCGCCCAAAATCTGCCATCTATTCATTCGTTTTTGGAAATTTTTCCAGATCTTTGGTTGTTACCTGTTAGTGGTGTAATAAAGTGAGGCATTACCTTTTCATGGAAGGATGCCTCTCTTTCAGTGCTGCTTTTGGTCACCCAAAATCTACCATCTATTCATCCGTTTCTAGAAATTTTTCTAGATCTTCAGTTGTTACCTATCAGTGGTGTAATAAAGAGAGACATACTGCTAAGAAGTGTCACAAATTTAATAGGTTATTAAAAAAGGCCAAAGGAGATGGCTTACTTAAGGCTTTTGCTGCTACTTCCATTGATCCATCTACTACTTCTAAATGGTATACTGATATTGGAGCTACTTCGCATATGATAAATGATGTTAATGCACTTGATAATTATGTTCCTTGTACTGGTAATCAAAGGGTGTATGTTGGTAATGGTAATTCCATGTCTATTTCTTGCATTGGAAAAATCAATTTGATTGTTGCTTCTCATCCTTTACCTTTATCAGATGTTCTCCTTGTACTTAGCATTACTAAAAATCTTTTGTTAATCAGCAAATTTACTCTTGAAAACAATTGCTTAGTCATTTTTTCTTCTTTTGGTTTTTTCATACAGGACCTAACAACAAGAAAGGTGATGGGAGCAGGTCGATGTAAGAACAGGCTTTATGTTCTTGATCGTGGCCACGCAACTTTTTTATCTAGTCTTTCTACATGTAATCTTCATGCTTCATCCATTATTTAGCATGCATGACTAGGGCATCCCTCTTTTTGGTGTTGTTTCCTCTTTAAATAAACATGGTTCTATTTCAGTTTCTGATAATCAATCAATTGATTCGAAACCTTGTTTTGGTTGTCAACTAGGCAAAAGTCATCATTTACCATTCTCTAACTTGGATCAACGATGTAATTCTTTATTTGAACGGATACATTGTGATTTATGGGGTCCATCCCCGATCACTTCTTTATCTGGCCATAAGTATTATTGAAAGAAGAACCTCGATGTGCAATAAAATCTGACAGAGAAGATAAATCACCATGAAGAGACCGAGTGAAAAGCTCATGGCTGAGAGCTTGTGGTATCAAATTGGCAAAGGAAGGCATCGACAATTGTGACAATATTAAAGTTGAAAAGATTTTGTAATCTGATCCAAGACCTTGAAGAAACCAATGTAACTTATTAGTGTCATCAATAGCTTTACCAATAGTACTAAGTTGATCACAAAGGGAGCGAAAGGAACAAGCATATTCAGTAACAGTACGAGAACCTCATTGCATCAGCTGGAGTTCATCTTTTAATTGAATTTCTTGGGTCTTAGAACGGTGTGAAAAAAAAGCTTCAAGAGCTAGCCAAGCATCACGAGAAGAAGAGCAATCCACCACTTCAACCATACATTCCTTAGTGAGAGAGGCATAAAGAAGGCTGAGTATAAGCCGATCTTGTGCATGCTATTTTTTGTAAGAAGGATTTGGTACCAGCTTAGTACCTTGATGAATCTGAGCTGAAGGTACTAGGAAAGACCATCCAGATAACCTAGTAAATCTTGACTTTCAAGTAAAGGTACAAATTGATGACGCCACAAGAGGTAATTTGTGGGAGTGAGTTTAATAGTCACCATATGAACCATAGTATTGAGTGGAAGCTTGTTGGTAGAGAATTCAGCCATGACAAGTAACCAAATTTGCTAGAATTTCAAGCTTGTGTTGAAAAAGAGAAAATTGAAGAGAAAATGGAGAATAATCTTGCTGGCTCTAATACCATAAAAAGATAATGCCTCAAAGTTATGACGTGAGGAAATCGTTATTTATAGAATCTGTATAATTATAGAAATGGAAAGCACGTATACAGAATATGGAAAGGAAATATACAGAGTAAATGAATAGCTATAATTAAGGAGTATTACTAATATCTTGGTAATTAGGAGAACCAGATTTGTCTCTAATAACCTTCATATGGATAAACAATTTTTTTTTTTATCTGTACCCTCTTTTCTAAAAGAATAACTAAAAACATTGTAATAATATGTTCAATCACGTGATAAGCTTTTTATATATATGAATATAATAAGATATTAGACCTATTATCTTTAGATTTTTCTAAGTAATAATCCTAAATATATATGGGTTTGGTGAGCTCTCAAACCCACCATCACTAGATTCATTGAAATAATGAGTCCAAACATATATAGGTATAACAAGCTACTAGACCCACCGTCTTCGTGTCCCCAGGCTTAGCCAGATGATGAGCTCAAACTCTTTTTAGCTCTAAAAAATCTTAGGCTCCAAGATTACTCTATTCAGTCAGATTTATTTTACTCTAATAACTTAGAGAATTTTTACTCTATGAGGAGTCATAGATATTTAGCTTACTTTATAACCCCTTCTTTTTCAAAATAGAGAGAAGCCTCATAGGTTATAAAAGGGACAAGAATATCTCACAAAGATAGATTTTGAATCTTTATTCTCTGCAGTATATTTATTTTATAGTCTTTCTCTAAAATATAATAGTTTTTTCTCTAAAAAGATATTTATATATACATCAAAGAATTCTTAAATTTGCCAAATGAGACATGCATTAACCACCTTAACTAGAGAAAATGGATCAAATTATCAAAACCAAAAGATTAGGCTATTATCTAAGAAATAAGCCTTACCCCAAGCTATTTGAATTTATTG